TCGGTACTGTAGTTGAGAAAGTGACAGTATTGCAACACTTGGCCATATTTAAGCTCTGGGTTATCTTTCTGCTATCACTCTGGATGCTGCTTAAAAGCTACAACCAGTGCTCAGAAACAGATGCCACAAAAATTTCATCATGCACTTCAGAGACAAATATGAGATTTAACTACGGGTGTCCTTGCTTGTAATCACTGCATCTTTTCTTACTCTACCTGTGTTACCCTGATGTTATACACATTCTGCGAAAACACTCTATAAATTCATGAAAATGAAAAATATACACAGTAATCTATATTTTAGACACAGCAATTCATCATGAGCCAGCAATTCATTCCCCTCTTCCCTGCATCAGAAATTCCATAATATAATATCCACATATGTCTCTTGCTTCTCTTGTCAATTCGAAAAAGCATGGATAGTTAATTATAATTTTTATACTCCCAGTAAGCCCCTACCTAAATCACTTGTAAACATCCTGAATGGAAAGGAAGACTCCAGCTGGATCTTTACTGTTTACTTGTTTATCTCTTTCTGCTGCTATAAAAACAATCTAGTCACATGTTCCTTGTAAAATGAAACAGCTTATTTTATATCCCTGTCCTTTGCATCACCATATTCATTTGAGCTGTTGAAAACTCTGCTGTTGATACTGAGGCCTGGATTGTGCAAGCAGTTATTTTTGAAAATCATGTAATGTTGGTCCTAATTTCCCTCAGGTCCTCTGACACCAACTCTGCACACAGAGGGGTTACTTAGACTTATGAGCATAACTGAGAAGTGTATTAATGTAAAACCAAGAGAGCTAGCCTTACATCTAATGAATAATCACAGAGTGTATTTGTGGATTAAAGCATTGGCATGACTTTTAATCCAAACAAATCCCAGAGTCACACAAAAGCCTTGTCTAAGCAATAAAACATATTTTCCTCTATCTCCCCACTATCAAACATAAAAGCTGTTAACCTTTATGTGGTAACTGTGAATAACTGTGTAACCACATAAAGCACTACAGCCACAGACACAAGTTTCTGCCAGCCCCATCAGTCACTTCTGTTTCGAGAGTGAATCTAAGGAGTGTGTGCACACAGGGTTAAAAATCGATCACTTAAAACTTAAACCAAATAGGAATTTTGGTTTCATTTTATTGGAAATAAGAACAGAGCTATAAGAAAGTCTACACAGCTCATTTAAATAAACAGAACCAGAAAGAGCACTGGATAAGCACAGGGAATGAGAATTTACTGCAGTGCAAACCCACGTTCTGATGCCAGCTGCATCCTCTGCAGGTGAGGACAGCATAGCATTTGTTCAACCAGTTAAATACTATGCAAACACAAGAAACAAATTTAAAAGGCTAAAAAAAAAAAAAACAAAAACAGAAAAAAGCTTGTTTTCCTTTATTACTTTGTGAATTAAAAGCCAAGTAGAACAGAGTAATCAGGTGTAAGAAATGAAGGGGCACAAGAATTAGTGATAGTATCTGAAAGAATCAAGTTAATGTTTCCTTCATTAAATATCAAAACATTTTTTCTTATTTAGCATACGTTAGATGCTTTTACCTAATTGACAAAACAAGTATAAAAATGCTTTTCCTGAACACTAATTGAATTCTAGTTTTCATGCAGAGAAAACATGACATAAAATAGAAGAAAAAATTACTCCCTCATTCTTCTTAAGACTCTGAACAGATGAACACAAACCAATGTATTTATTTCAATGGTGCAGATGCAGTGCAAAAACCAGAGAGCCAGAACTGGGTTAGGCTTAACAGGACCCCAAATATCTCACGCTATACAGAAGACAGTGACTAGTAACCAGTAACCTGAAGTCATCTATTGAGTAAGTGATCACGAAGGTGCCTCAAAGCTGATTACACTTCTCTATAATCCCATCATTTTGCCCAGGAAATGACCATGCTGAGGAATGACAGCATCTTGATGAGAAACTGCATTTTGTGGGACCAAATATAGGATTCTCCAGCAAAGTCCTCCAAATGATAATACAACAAATGAACTCTTCTAGTGACTGTTTTGGAAAATGAACCTTAGAAGTAATGGTGACCAAAACCATTAACTTGCCCAAACAAAATACATCAACCACCCAACCTCACCTCTCTGCAGATTAATACTCAATGAAGAAAACACAGTCTTCTGTCAGCTGGCAGGTTTTTAGCCACTTTCTAGAAACATTAAACCATAAGCACAGACTGAAAGGCTGTCATTGCAATTCATCATTGAATCAGGGGAAACCAAAGGACAGACAGAGACTCGCCAAGTAAAAGAATTTTCTAAGTTCATGCTCATGACTGGTTTCAAAGCATAACTGTAAAGCCCATCAGACATAACTTCTCTTATGTTATCCAGAGATATAGTCAAACATCTCTAGTGTAACCTCTGTGTAACACGATTTGGGATGTTAACTACTTTACGAACGGTCAAGGGCTTTGACAACTGCACCAAAATGAAAAACTCCTTCCAGGTCAAGTCAGAGAACAAGAAGACTAAAAATAAATCACAGCAGGAAAAAAAAAGCTAAGGTTTGTCACCTAAGCAATGGAACAGCAAGTAATCCTTAAACAATAACCCCCTCCCTAAACAATAACCCCCTCCCTATCACATGATTCATTCCAAGATGCATGTTCATGACTTATTACACAATTAGCAGGGCTATGACACCACACAGTGCAACTGCTCTATAATGCAGGAGTCTTACCATTAACCATTCATTAACTCTGTCTTCTCTAATTAAAAATGACTCATGGAATAAGCTGTGTTATATGATTAAGCTTTGAACAAACCAAAGCTAATTTAGAGAGACACAAAATTAAGTTTAATTCTATACAGGATCATGCTAAGGATTTTGAAAACAAGTGCTGCAGAACAAACATCTAAACTGGAAAATTCCTTGGAAAGGAAGACCTTTCCTCTGTAAAACGCTGCAGTGACCCATGAAGAGGAAGAAAGCATGGCTGAGAGAAGATAGAGAATCGTAGAATGGTTAGGGTTGGAAAGGACCATAAGATCATCTAGTTCCAACCCCCTTGCCATGGGCAGGAACGCCTCACACTACACTATGTACAAGGGGAACTGATACAGTCAAAATATGATTATTGCTCCTGGCCTTTGGTTCACCATACCTTCACTACTGCAATAGGAAAAGCTCTTAAACCCTCTAAATCTTACAGTCTTTAAGATGAAGACATTAAGACGTTTTACACTACACAGCACATGAGTCCAGCACTGACTGAAGGAAAGGAGCACCACTGACCCCAGCACTGCTCCCAAACTGCAGTACCGGTACCACACCAAACAGCAACCATACCTCTGAAAAAGATCGAGACTTAGAAGCAACTTCCCATAACACTGATTCCAGCTTCCTGGTATTTTATAAACATCAAGCACCATCCCATAAACTGCAAGGTTTTAACAACTTCAACTGGCAGGCTCTACCCAATATGCTTATTTCCACAGTCAGATGATTACTGGTTTTCAGAGTAGGTTTATGCAGAGATACTCACTGTTAAAGACCACTTTTTTACTGCTGTGACCACACCAGGCCTCCACCTGCCCTGGTCTTTGGCTCCCTCTTTTCCATCACATCACAATTTCCATAGTTTTCTAGGTATGCTCTGATCCAGCTCTATCCAAGTTATCCTCCCATGTGCAATACAGGCTCAAGGTGTAGAGTCATTGTGGTACATTTTTACCATGACGTTCGCACACTTTAACTCACACTTTATCAGTTGGTCTAGCACAATCACCAGCCCTTTTCTGCCATCTGCTTTCCATTTCCCTCCCTCTTCTGTCTCACCAGATCACAGTTCTAACCCACAAACAAAACTCCAGACTACCAACACACTACAAATACCAAGTCTTACCAATACCTGGAAGACCTGCTGTCAGAGAAGGAAAAATCAAGTGTTTATATGGAATCAGTTTAAAAATGTGTAAGAACTATGTGGTCAAACTCAGGGGTGGAGCAGGAGGAAGCAGGAGGGTACGATGAGATTATTCACCAACCCTAACCTCTAACCACTCAACTCCATCAAACTGCCTGAACCACTTGAAACCAACCTGCAAGATTTTCCCCTTCCTACCTTCATCAACTTTATTTTTGTTAGGTTTATTTCCCCACAGACACTGAAAAAAAGGCATCAATTGACTGATTTCAGAACCTGGTTAATTATTATTAGTATACCTGCATCAGACCAAGTGAAAGGAGCAGTGGGAGCCTGACTAGTTCTTGATGCTTTTAGAACACTTTTCTTTTTAACTGGCTATGTCATTCCAGAACAAGAGAAGTCAGATCACTGCCAGGAGAATTTGATTGTTTCCTAGCATATGGTTCTTAAATGATATCATCAAAACTTAACTCTATCGTTAAGTTATCGTTGGCTATTATGCACTTCTTTCACCAAAGAAAACAGTGTTTCATTCCCAGACCCAGCTCAGGAGGTGGGTGGTAAACTCCTGTCACTATACTAAATGAGGCAGACTGCTTCTTTTATACTTTGAGGTTGCCTACTAATAACCTTCATCGTAATGTCTCCTCCACAAACTCTGGTGTTGCAAGCGAACCCGATAACAACCTCTCTGTTCCAAGTAGGCATAAGTGATTGCAGTTTATAGATGAAGCAGTTTGCCTTCACAGTCAGAAGCCGGCTGTACACCCGTGCCAGGCCCTTGCCCCTCAGCAGCTTCCCATCTTCCCCAAAACAACCTCTCTGTCACCATAAAGGGCTCAGCCAAACCCATGCTCCAGACTACGGCACACTGACAGCCCCGGCGAGCCCCACACCTCCCAGCACAAGGGGGGCAGCTCCACCCGAGCCCGCCGGGAGCAGCGGCGGTGCCGGCAGCGCTCCCCCGCGCAGAGCCGCTCACCGGAGCGCCGAGAAGCTCCTGAGGTCCAGGCGGAGCTCGCCGCGAACCTGCCCCGCTGCAAGGGCTGTCACCGTCCGCGCAGGTAGGACACGGAGCTGCCCGGGCCGCACTCACCTGCGGTTCATGGGCCGCACTCGCACGGCCACCTTCACCGAAGCCATGGCTCATCCCTACCGGGCCACGCGGGCCTGCACCTGCTCCAGCTGCCGCCGCCGGTCCGGCCTCGCCTCGCCCCGCCCCGGCCCGCCCGGCCCGGCCTGGCCCTCGCCGCCGACCCGCGCCCCGCCCGCCGGGGCCGAGCGCAGGCCGCCCCCCCCTCGGCCTAGGCCATGTCTCTACGGCAACCGCCGCCCGCCCCCCGCAACGGCCTGCGCCGGCGGGCGGCTATGGGGGCAGTGCAGGGACAAACAAGGTCGCAAGGCGTTGCTCCTCCTGGCCGTGACACCCGCCCTCGGCCGCGCCGGGTGAGGCGGGGAAGGAGGAGGAGGAGGAAGAAGAGGAGGAAGGCCGGGAGTGAGGGGCCTTCGGGAGGAGGGGAGTGGTGGTACCGACATTACTGGGGGTGGGAGGGGGCTTCTGCACAGGGCTGTCCCCCGCGGTGTACAGTTAGTTATTTACCTGTTTATTCATTCATTTATTTATTTACTGGGGGTGTGTATATGGCTAGATATGCATATATACACATATATATTCAGGCACACCCCTATAAATACATATCTTCCCATTATATATTAGAAGATACGTATAGGGATGTAGATGGGGTGTCTATATATCCACATATATGCATATACCCCTATATACACCCTGTATATATCTCACTTTACATACATACCCCTGTATATATGCATACCCCTATACATAGACACCTATATTACCTATATATGGTGGAGAGAGCTGTCTGTATAGATATATGTGCAGATAATGTCCACATATATGTATCTACATATATATATGTCATATATACGACATATCGTACCTTTTTTCTTGGTTATATAGGGGGCCTATAAGGATGCTGGGGAGGGACTCTTCATTAGGGACTGTAGTGACAGGACAAGGGGTGATGGCTTAAAACTTAAACAGGGGAAGTTTAGATTGGATAAGGAGGAAATTCTTTCCTGTTAGGGTGGTGAGGCATTGGAATGGGTTGCCCAGGGAGGTTGTGAATGCTCCATCCCTGGCAGTGTTCAAGGCTAGGTTGGACAAGGCCTTGGGTGAGATGGTTTAGTGTGAGGTGTCCCTGACCACGGCAGGGGGGGTTGGAACTTGATGATCTTGAGGTCCTTTCCAACCCTAACTATTCTATGATTCTATGATTCTATGATATAAGGTATAACCAGTATTACGATTATTTAAAGCAAGATCACTTTCTTATTGGCAAAAAGTTGTGCATATAAACACATTCTGGTTTGTATTATTTCTAACAGGAGTTGGAACTGGATGATCTTAAGGTCCTTTCCAACCCCAACCATTCTATGATTCTATATACACATATGCACATACATACACAGATGTTGAAGAGGTGTGTGTGCAATCCCTGTACACTCTGCCAGGGTGCCACCAGTGAGACACCACCAAGGCCAGGCAGCCGCCACGCTGGTACCATCGGACTGGGGACAGGGTCTGGATCTGACACCCCACCCTGTCACCCTGCTCGGAGGGATGCGCTCAGCAAAGCACAGACGGAGATGGCACTGTCTCAGCAAACAGAGGGAACATTTCCAGCAGAGAGAAATGGTGAAGCAGTGGGCATCACAAACAATAATAATGCATATTTCTATATGTATGCATATAACATCATAAATTTGGGTTATTTTTTTTACTGCTTATAACAGGGCACACAACAGCTCTCCCAGTAGGGATCAGCACTGACTCCATTCTTATAGCAAGAAAAAGGTGATTATGGTCAGCTTGGAGAAAAAGGGAGTTAAACAATGTAAATTCAAATGCAGGCTAAGGTGCAGCGGATGATAGAGAGCCATGCCCTCATCTGCTTGTGCAGAAACACAGCCTGGGCATCCAGCCTGGCACATCCTCCCTTAGGGAACAGCCAGCCGCAGCAAGACATCTGGCTCATAAGGGGTACTGTGTAAAAGACAACATAAAAAAGCAGGATAAGTAATATTGTCACAAATAATAAATATTTTGTTTGTTTGGAGTTGTCAGTGCCTGGACACTACACCCAGGATGGAGACATCATTTAAATGCTGTAGAAACATGGTTGAATTAAAGTCATGAAGGTGTTACTGGCGTGACAAGCCAAAAGTGGCCAATACACAGAAGAGGGTCTCAAATCCAAATTCCTCATCTTTAGGGGTGCCTTGTACTAACAACTTATAGTCTCCAAAAAGGGAAAGAAGTGAGGAAGGGCAGATGACAGGAAAACGTCAGTTGATGAGCAATTAGCACTGGTGGCAACAGGCATGGATGAGATGCAAAAAGGATGGGAGCAGAGAAAAGAAAGAGACAGAAGGGCCCCATGTTTACACTCCAAAGGTGGGGAAGCACTAGGAGGCAGGTCAGAGGAACAAAGCCAGAACAGAAGAGATTTGGAAGATGACTTGACTGCTGGAAGTGGTCAAAAGGTGGAAGCCCATCAGATGTGGAAACACCTGGAAACCAGAGCTCCATGGGGTGGAGAAAGGAGGGGATAAAGAAGGAAGCCAGAAAAGTGATGTCCCCAGCAGTGCATCAGATCACATGAGAGATAAGGTGATGCCTGAAGAGAGAGGTCAGGTGCAAGAGGTGGTTTTATAGCAAAAGAGAAACCATTATGTGTTCAAATTGCTCAAGAAAGAGAATAGGAGGGATGAGAACAAGAGCGGTCTGGGGCAAGGGGTTAGAAAATCACTGGTGCAACAGCTTAAAGGAGAAGAATGGAGGAAGAAATAGAGGGCCAGTAATAGGAAAGAAGGAGGAAGGAACAAGATTTGGAGAGAGAGGAGCACAATTTTGGAGACCCAGGAAGCTTTCAATAGCCAGACAGGACCTCTGGCCTAAGAGTCAGACATTAAAACAGTTCTGAAGGTTTGGCAATGGAAAAGAAAGTAGTGAACTTATAATGTGGATTTTTCCTGAGGTTTTCAGCGATGTGAGAGGACAAGCATAGGAAAGATGCAAGGAGGGAGCCGGTGTCTGTGATGCCAAGACAAACTCCAAAGGGAAAGAGTCAGAAGTTTCAGCACCAGTGTCAAGAGTATTGCAAACTGGAGGTCACAGGAGCACTAAAAAGGGAAGGAAAGGATCAACTGTGCTGTGCCATAGAGGTGCTACAGTGGGAGAGAAAGAGCTGGGGGCACTGGGAAAGCACGGGGGGAGCAGTAGTTGCTTAAAGATCATCAAAGGACCATGCTGGTGAGCACAGGCACTGACACTGCAGCAGCCAAGTGTGCAAATGTGCAGGCGGGGGGACCCCTGGCAAAGCATCAGGTAAATTGATTAAATCCTACTGAAAGCTTTAAAGAGGATCCAAGAGATGTGCGACGAGCTGACAGGGAATAGCACAAGCACATAAGAAAGGTAAGAAAAAGCTCAAAAGTGTGTATAAGAAAAAAGTAGACATGCACATGCATGCATAATAGGATAAAAGAATAAAAGCCAGTGGTAAAGAAATACAATAAAATGTAATGATTTTCAGCACCCATTAGGGGTCCTAGAAAAGCCAACCAATATGTAGCCTAATTTGTAGAGCATCTACTAACTCCTCTCAGACAGTCAACCTTCATCTCTGATTAGCAAAGCTATTGAAGAAATATATTGGGCTCAGTAAGTACATCTCCTCATGCTGTGCCTTGTGACACCAGCCACTGCAGGATACAATGAGCTTCTCAAACCACACATATCCTCCTGTGAAATGGAAAACACTTCTTCACTTACGTAGTAAGCGCCCATTGAAGATGGGAGCTGGACCAGCTAATGCAACTGTAACACACCCGGCATGAAGCAGCAAAACATCCCAGGCTCCCCCATCCTCCTGCAATTGTCAGTGACTTGCTATTTCACAACTAACTTTCCTTTCCTGGGCCAGGACACAAATGCTGCAGGCAGTCAATGGAGAGTGAAGGCAGACCTGGTTTTCTTAAGCAGCATTGACAAACCTGTGTCTTTCGGCTGTAACTATAATGTTGAGTGCTTGGGTGATTGCAGCGCGGCCCGGCAGCAGGGGCAGAAGGGCTGGCTCCACTTGGGTTGTAATTCATACAGTGCAAATTCTAGCCAGGAAAGTAGGATCATAGAATCACAGATTGGTTTGGGGTGGAAGGGACCTTAAAGCTCATCCAGTTCCAACCCTCTGCCCCCTGCCATAGGAAGAGGCACCTTCCACTAGAGCAGATTGCTCCAAGCCCTGTCCAACCTGGCCTTGAACACTGACAGGGATGGGGCAGCCACAGCTTCTCTCATAGCAAGTAACGTTGTCCTAATGTCTAATCTCAATCTCCCCTCTGTCAGTTTAAAGCCATTCTCCTGGTCCTGTCACTACATGCCCTTGTAAAAAGCCCCTCTCTAGATTCCTTGTCAGCCCCTTTAGGCACTGGAAGCTGCTCTATGGTCTCCCCAGAGCCTTCTCTTGCCCAGGCTGAACAAGCCCAGCTCTCCCAGCCTGTCAAAATTTAGCTGATAGATCACTCTGTTCAGTAAAAGTAAGTAGAACTCAGTTCAATATTGCTCAAGTTGGACACGTTCAGCATCCCCACTATCTGCTCAGCTTTAACAATACACCCACAGGCAGCATAGCATTGCTCCTTTGACCAGTTTCTGTGTCAGCATACCTCTCTCTTCTGCCCTGGGTTCAGCTATAAGTTAATACTCTCACCAGTTCAGTCTGCCCCACTGAATTATTACACACCATGTGTAACATCTCCTGCAGTTTCAATAGGGAGCAAGTTTTACAAGAGGAGGATCCAGGAGGAAGGCTGCTGCTTCCTCAGGGCTGCGTCCTGTAGTTAAGCTGCTTGGTGGATGTTTGAAGGGTTGAGGCTGTAGGAAAGTCACTCTGTCCTCAGCTCGGCTTCTGCAAAACTCGCCAGGAAAAAGATATTTTTGAGACCTTTACACATAGGTCAGTTTGTAGATATCGACCCCCAAAACAATATGTAAACATACCACCAAAAGCCTTAAAACCCTGCTGCAAAATAGAGCTGTCAGTCTCTAATGCTAAACATTACACTCAGAAACACCTGGCAAAGTCTGCAAACTCAAATAAAAGCCTAGCTCACAGCACATGCATTCCCAATTACTCCTCTACTCCT